ACACACACACACACACACACACACCTATATCTGTATGAGGTATGAACACTTGTTCACATCCTAATATTTCGTGTTTGTATTTTAAATCTGTGTATTTTTACATCTAAACTTTTATTTTGTATAATACTCGAGTTCATCAGATGTTTTCCAGCTTTTATTTTGTTAATACAACTGGGAGTTTAGACAGGAAGTGTGGGCGTGTCCTGCAGGTACTACATCAACACCTCCAGCATTAAGCTGGCCTTCACCGGCTGCTCCTCCCACTGCTACAGAGAGGTGGAGGTGAAGACCTGCTGTCCCGGCTTCTGGGGTCCAGACTGCACGGGTCAGTAAACAACAACAACTGGAACAGTAAGGCCTGTCTGTTTTATATCCAGAACCAGAACCTTCAGAGGTCCGAAACCCTCAGCAAAGATTTCCACTTCAGTACCAGGACTTCCTTCCTCTCTGCAGACCGTCAGCAGCTCAGAAATCTGCTGACGGTCCAGGAGCTGGACCCTGTGACCCCCCAAACCCTGAAAAACAAGTCAGAAAACAGAAGCTTGGCCCAGCAGACAGGATCCACTGAGAAACACCAAAACCTGCAGAACTGAACATCTTCAAACCTCGAACCATCTGCTGAAAGAGCTGAACCCAGTCTTTTACAAACTTTAAAAAAAATAAATTCACAATAAAAACCTTTCAAAAGAAGCTGAAGACCAGGAAACATCTGATTAAAACTGTTCCAGATGTTTCTCTGTGAAACATCTGCTTCTTCTAACATCATGTTGAAAACATCCAGGACCTCAGGAGACCAGGTCTGAAGGTTTTAGAAGACCTCAGGAGACCAGGTCTGCAGGTTTTAGAAGACCTCAGAGACCAGGTCTGAAGGTTTAAGAAGTCCTCAGAGACCAGGTCTGAAGGTTTTAGAAGTCCTCAGAGACCAGGTCTGAAGGTTTTAGAAGTCCTCAGGAGACCAGGTCTGCAGGTTTTAGAAGACCTCAGAGACCAGCTCTGAAGGTTTAAGAAGTCCTC